CAGCAACCAATCACATTTTACAGTATGATTTAAAGAAACAGGTACAGCATTGCTATATGATTTATATATTGCCAACTCAACTGTTAAGATTATATTCCTAACAGTGGTTGATGCAGTTCTTTCATTCTTGGCGAATGGTGGACTGGATCGATGTCAATATGTCTCTTTATTGACATTGGTGGAGAACCAGATCTCCTTGATAGCATAGAGTCCTTTAGAAATCTTTATTGGCCACGTGGGATTAGACACACAAGGAATTTGTCTCCATTGTATAATAAGCTCTCAGTGTGCCAACAAGCAATACGTGATCAATCATAATTATAGTCATTGTAAAAGTACATTCATCACAAATCATAACACTTAGTGACATGGATACTAAACAAGCAATCAACATAAACCATACTAGGATACTAATTACCATATTTTTCTGAACATAAGACACACCATGGTTTTGAAGAGGCAAATTTTTAAAAAGAGGTTTTGCACTCTGCAAACGTCCCAAAAACAACCCGTTTTTCGTGAAAACAGGCCTGTTTTTTTTTCCCCCCCCAAAAAAAGGCTTTAGGAAGCTTATAGAGTGCTCGGGGTGGGGGGACGACAAAAAATGGCCCATTTTTCATGGAAACTGGCCCATTTTTTGTCAAAAAAAGGGCATGGATAGCCTTAAGCTTACAGAGTGCTCCTGGGGGCTGGGGGGGGGCAAAATTGAGCAAAAAACAGCCTGTTTTTTTCCTCATTTCTGCCCTCCCTGGTCCCAGGAGCTCTCTGAAAGCTTCCTAAAGCTACGCGTGGCCATTTTGGTGAAGGGGACAGGATATCGGGAGGCAAAAAATGCTATATTCAGTGTATAAGACGCACCCAGATTTTCAGCCTCTTTTTTGAGGGAAAAAAGTGCATTTTATACTCTGAAAAATACCGTAAGCAATTTAAATCTTAACTTACAGGTGATGAAGTTATAGACATAAGAAGGTAAGGTGATAGGTAATAGGGAAGATGAGAATAACGATGGTAATACCGCCTTTTTCAATAGTTTTGACAGTGTTGTAGGAATTAGTTTTTTAGCCGAGTGATGGCATTGGGGTGGGGTGGGGGGAACTGTCCTTTTGTCTAGTTGTTCTGACAGACAGTGCCCTATAGCATTGTTTTGGGGGAAGAGGTTGAAACAGTTCAATTCTTTATTGTGTGATTGGACACACAAGGAATTTGTCTTTGGTGCATATGCTCTCAGTGTGCATAAGGAGAATAAAATACATTCATCAAGAATAAAAAGATACAACACTTAGTGATAGCCAAGGTTACTAATAAGCTATCAAATCATACTAGGAAACAAATAAAAACAATGTAAATTGAAAGATACAAGCAACATGGTTATAGTCATAAGTTGGAAGAGAAAGATACTAGGAAGGAAGAGAAAAATAATAGTAATGCAGTCTTAGTAAATTATTTGATTAGTTGTTTAGCAGAGTGATGGCATTATGTCAAGTTGTTGTGGTATGCAGTGCCCTATAGCGGCGTTTTGAGGATAGAAGTTGAAACAATTTCTGTCCAGGATGTGAGGGGTCTGTAGATATTTTCACAGCCCTCTTTTTGACTCGTGCAGTTTACGGGTCCTCCATGGAAGGCAGGTTGTCAGTAATTGGTTTTTCTGCAGTTCTGATTCTCCTCTGAAGTCTGTGTCTGTCTTGTTGGGTTGCAGAGCCAAACCAGACAATTATGGAGGTGCATATGACAGACTCAATAATTCCTCTGTAGAATTAAATCAGCAGCTCAGGGCAGTTTGAACTTTCTGAAAGTCCATTCATTCAGAAAGAACATTCTTTGTTGTGCTTTTTTGATAAATAATTGATGATTAATTGTGAGAAGTTGTGGGTGCTCTAACACTGGAAGCTTTAAAGAAGACTAACCAGAGCGAAACCAGATAGTTATGGAGGTGCACATGACTGACTCAATAATTCCTCTGTAGAACTGAATCAGCAGATCCTTGATTTCGCCTGGGTTACAAGCGTGGTCCAGTTTAAAGACCAGTGCTCCGACAGACGAGCACAATTCAAAGGGCCCGGACGATGTCTCCTTGAACCGTGATGAAACATTTGCAACCAAACAAATTGCCAAGCTCGGAGCTCAGACCCGGCTCCCAACTTGAGCTCCTTATATTCAAATATATTTAAACGAAACATATAAAGAACAAATAAAATACACAGGAATATATTATTAAAACAAACGAACAGGCTGTACATAACAGATGCGACTTTTAAAATCCTTATTCAATATTTCTTCCTAGAAAAGGCATTTGTATGGAGGTGATAACAGGTAGTTCTCGACTTACAGTAATTCATTTAGTGACAGTCCAAAGCTACAACAGCACTGAAAAAAAGTGACTTGTGACCGTTTTTTACTTTGCAGCATCCCCATGATCACGTGGTCAAAATTCAGATGCTTGGCAACTGAATCATATTTATGACGGTTGCCCTGGGCGCACTGCCAAACACTCCCCACAGGTATTTCTTTTGATGTGGCGTTCTTTTGCACATCACCAAAAGCAGAATAACCTTTGCAAACCCTTGGGGTAGCTGCACGTTTCTATTATTTTCTGGAGATCCATGGGTTGACCCAGATTAATGTTATCACCAGGTGATGAAATCAGAACTTGGAACTATCAAAAGAAAATGATCATTCTCTTTTTTTAATTCAAATGTGAATGTGTTTAGCCCTTGCTCTAAATCCATCTGCCTTGCTCTAATCCCGGCTCTTTGTAGATCGTTAGAAATGTGTTTCTGGATCAGTCCCATGTTCTTGTCCTTCAGCCAGTCACCAGGTTCTTAATATGGGCTGACCCAAAAAAACAGCAATATTCTTGATGCATCGTGGAGGTGTATCGTTCGTATGCATTTGGACTGGACAGTTGCATGATGGTAACAGAATAATAGAATAAAAGAATTACATAATCATAGAATTGGAATGGATCTGTATTTTTCAGAGTATAAGACGCACCTTTTCCCCTCAAAAAAGAGGGTAAAAATCTGGGTGCATCTTATACACTGAATACAGCACTTTGGGCCTCCTGAAACCACACACCCTTTGCAAAAATGGCCGTGCAGAGCCTGTAGGAGGCTTTCAGAGTGCTCCTGAGGGCTTGAGGGGAGGCAAAAATGAGCAAAAATCAGAGTGCAGCCCCCAGGAGCACTCTATAAGCCTCTTAAAGACTATTCATGACCATTTTTCCACAAAAAAAACCAGGCCTGTTTTCGGGAAAAACAGGCCCGTTTTCGGGAGATCTGCAGAGTGCAAAAACATTTCTTTTTAATTTGCCTCTTCAAAATCTTGGTGCGTCTTATACAGTATATAAGATGAACTTTTTTGGGGAAACACGGTAGCAGTGAGAAGTTTTGCATTTTGTGATTTGGGTCTAGTTCTTTCTCTTCTCTTCTGCTGTCTCCTGGTCCTGCCGCTTCCACTATCCAGAACCCCAAATATTCCGGAAGAGGCTACTTCTGAAAAAATTGGTTTGTGCTCTAACCAATCTTCCAATCTTCATTCCAACAGGATCTGAATGGAAAAGTGAAACGGAGGGGAAACCGTGTGGGGATTTCTCTGAAGAAACCGAGCGGGAACCCTTTGAAGAGAAAGTCTGGAGCCGAGCTCAACCCACACACCGAGAAAGAGACCCACAAGGAGAATGGATCGATAAATCTCTTCCTTGTCCAGTCGGAGAGCTCCATCCGATCTCACTCCAGGAAAACAATGAGGGAGGAGAGGAAAGGAATGGAGCTCTCCGTGATTGCTGGGAAATGTCTTCCGTGACTGAAACCCAGAAAAGTATGTTTGGGAAGAACCCCGGAGATAGGGAAACGCTTTCGGAAGGAGAGAGTTCATATACATTTCTGGAAAACGGAGAGAAGTTTCTGGGCCCTTTAATCCCTCCTTCGGATCGAGCTGTCCTTTCTGATGGACAACACCAACCCTCTGATTTCAACAAAACCTTTCATGGTCCATCCACCCTGCTGAAACCGCCGGGAGTCCCCAAAGTGGAGAAGTTGTACAAATGCTTGGAATGCGGGAAGTCCTTCAGTCGCAGCGCCCACCTGACCTCCCACCAGATCATCCACACTGGGGAAAAACCGTACACGTGTTTAGAGTGTGGGAAGAGCTTCGTTCAGAGTGCCCACCTCGCCTCCCACCAGATCATCCACACGGGGGAGAAGCCGTACCGTTGCTCAGAGTGCGGGAAAAGTTTCAACAAGAGCACCAACTTTTTGAGGCACCAGAAGATCCACAAGGGAGAGAAGCCACACCAGTGCGCCGATTGCAACAAGACCTTTTCCGACAAGCCGAGCCTAATTCAGCACCAAAGGGTTCACACGGGGGAGAGGCCCTACAAATGCTACGAGTGCGGGAAGAGCTTCAGTCACAGGGGCAGCCTCAATGCACATCAGCGGATGCACACGGGGGAGAAGCCCTACGGATGCTCAGACTGTGGGAAGAACTTCCGGGACCAATCGAGCCTTATTAGACATAAGAGAACCCACACCGGGGAGAAGCCCTACACCTGCTCCGAGTGTGGGAAAAGCTTCAGCCAGAGCACAAACTTGACTTTGCATCAGAAGGTCCACACTGAGGGGACGTTTCCGTCAGATTCCCCCCAAATACTTAACACGGGGATGGGCGTATTAGTCTTTCCACAGAATCCTGCAAACGGTTTAGTGGCACTTGAAAACTAAAGGGCACTTGGCTCAACAGTAATAACTGTGAGAAGGATCTTGGAGTCCTAGTGGACAACCATTTATATGAGCCAGCCGTGTGCAGCACCTGCCAAAAAAGCCAACACAGTTCTAGGCTGCATAAACAGAGGGATAGAATCAAGATCACATGAAGTGTTAATAACACTTTATAATGCCTTGATAAGGCCACACTTGGAATACTGCATTCAGTTTTGGTCACCACGATGTAAAAAGGATGTGGAGACTCTGGAAAGAGTGCAGAGAAGAGCAACAAAGATGATTAGGGGACTGGAGGCTAAAACATACGGAGAACAGTTGCAGGAACTGGATATGGCCAGTCTAGTGAAAAAAAAGGACTAGGGGTGACGTGACACCAGTCTTCCAATATTTGAGGGGCTGCCACAAAGAAAAGAGGGTCAACTTATTCTCCAACACACCAGAAGGCAAAGCAAGAAACAATGGGTGGAAACTAATCAAGGAGAGAAGCAACTTAGAAGTAAGGAGAAATTTCCTGGCAGTGAGAACAATTAATCAGTGGAATGGCTTGCCTCCAGAAGTTGTGGGGGTGGGACTAGAAGACCTCCAAGGTCCCTTCCAACTCTGTTATTCTGTTATTCTATTAACCTGCTTCTTCGGTTGCATCAGCGGCCTTTGTGTTTTCATTTCCGCTCTTAACATGTTTAGAACTCAACCGACTTTTCTGTCCAAGCTGCACTTTACGGAGCTTGGAAGCTCATTAATATATGTACATAAATTATGCAAAATATACATATGGTGTTCCCTGCATGGCTTCCCTCGGGACTCTCTCACTTAAATTGTTACCTTTTGTTGGCAACACAGGTAGTCCTCGGTTTGCGGCCATTCTTTTAATGACCAAAGTTACAAGGGTGCTAAAAAAAGCAACGTAACTTTGCTTGTCTCTTGGTGTTCGCAGGTTCGTTCCTGATTATGGATTAAGGTGTAGCATTCAATGGGTTTGGGCGGGGTGAGGTTACTGCCTGGATTAATTTATATGCATCTTGGAATATATAACAAGGGGGTAGAATAAATGACATCACATTCCTCGCCCCAATGGAGCCTTGGGTTTAAAACAGAGAGCCTAAGATCCTGTACAGATGGTCCTCGATTTATCATCGTTCATTTAGTGAGTGTTCAAAGTTACGACAGCACTGAAAAAAGTTGACTTACCATTGTTTTTCTCCCTTCCTACTGTTGCAAAATTCCCATGATCCCCTGATCAAAATTCAGGCCCTTGGCAAGTGACCCATATTTACGACGGTTGCAGTGTCCCGGGGTCATGCGATTCATTTTGCGACCTCCTGACAAGCAAAGTCAACGGGAAGGTCAGATTCACTTCACAGCCTTGTTACTAACTGCTGTGATGCACTTCAACAACTGTCGGAAGGAAGGTCGCAAAATGGGGCAAAATTCACTGAACGACTTGTCTTGCTCTGCGACAGACATTCCGGGCTCAATTGTGGTTGTAAGGCAAGGACTATAGGCCAATTTATAGGCCTCAATTTCTTCCATCTGAGGTGTGTTCTGAAACCCCACAAATGTTTCATTATCCAATTTCAAAATTGTATTAGTTTTATCAAAGCTTAAAATACAAAAATACAAGGGAAATAAAAAAAAAAGGTAAAATAAATAAAACTCTTCCAGGTCCATTTTCTGCTAGTTGTTTTCTTCACAAATTAGTTTATGATATAAAGTCCCTGCCCTTCAGTAAAATCTACTCGTCTTGTTGCGTCTTATTATCTCGTTCCATTTCTCCAGATATTGTTCTTTCTATTCTGGCGTTAAAGTCATCCATTAGTATTTTGTGTCTGCATTTTTCTCTGTCTTGAAGGCAAGTCGCATTTTCAACCTCCTCATCACTCTAGCTTATTGTTGGCGCCTAAACCTGGGTGATTTGAAGCCTGTATTGTTTGTTTAATTGCATGATGCATTGAGCTACTCTGTCTGATATACTTTCAAATTATACTTTCAGGTTATACTATAGTGGCTTAGTGGTTTTATTCAACTTGTATGCCGCCCTATTCCCGAGGGACTCAGGGCGGCTAACAAAACCGAAAGGGAGGGGAAACAATACAAAAGGAAAGGCAACAAAAACAGACAACAATACAGAACCAATTTAAAAGGTCTCAACAAGCACACCAGTTCGAGTGGGGATGGAACTCAGCAGCCCCAGGCCTGCTNTTTACTCTTTACTCTTTACTCTTTACTCTTTACTTTTTACTCTTTACTCTTTACTCTTTACTCATTACTTTTTACTTTTTACTCATTACTTTTTACTCTTTACTCTTTACTTTTTAGTTTACTTTACTCTTTACTCTACTTTTTACTTTACTTTTTACCTTTTATTTTATTTTACTTTACTTTTTACTCTTTACTCATTACTCATTACCTTTTACTCTTTACTCTTTACTTTTTATTTTACTTTACTCTTTACTTTTTATTGTACTTTTTACTTTTTACTCTTTACTTTTTATTTTACTTTACTTTACTTTTTACTCTTTACTCTACTTTTTATTTTACTTTATTTTACTCTTTACTCTACTTTTTACTTTACTTTTTACCTTTTATTTTATTTTACTTTACTTTTTACTCTTTATTCTTTACTCTACTCATTACTCATTACTTTTTAACCTTACTCTTTACTTTAATCTTTACCTTTTACTTTTTACTTTTTACTCTTTACTTTTTATTTTACTTTACTTTATTTTACTTTTTACCTTTTATTTTATTTTACTTTACTTTTTACTTTATACTCTTTACTCTTTATTTTACTTTACTTTACTCTTTACCTTTTACTTTTTACTCTTTACTCATTACTTTTTATTTTATTTTACTTTACTCTTTACTTTTTACTTTACTTTACTTTTTATTTTTTACTTTACCAATAGTGCTTTGCTGGCCTGGGTTGCCGGAACCAGCAGTGACCCAGGCCTGCCACGCCTCCAAACTGGCTCCTCGATCGGCACAGCATCGTTTTTTTTTTCTTTTCCATTTTTTAATGTTCTGCCTATTTATGGGCAACTGTGCATGCACGCGGAGCAAAATTGCGTGCGCACTGAACCGGCAGTCATGCCGACAGCAACCCACCCCTGGTCAGAACCTGCTGAATACCACCTCTGCTGCTCACCCAACATAGAGCTGTGGTGGCACAGTGGTTAGCATGCAGTATTGCGGGCTGATTCTGCTGAAAGGCCAGGAGTTCGATCTTGACTGACTTCAAGGTTGACACAGCCTTCCATCCATCCTTCCTATGTTGGTGAGATGAGAACTGAAATGCTGCCTCTGTAAACTGCTTAGAGAGGGCTGTGAAGCACTGTGAAGAGGTATATAAGTCGAAGGGCTATTGCTATTCCATTCAGTCTTCAGTTTTCAGGAAGCTTTTCCAAGAGCCATGGTGGCACAGTGGTTAGCATGCAGTATTGCGGGCTGATTCTGCTGAAAGGCCAGGAGTTCGATCTTGACTGACTTCAAGGTTGACACAGCCTTCCATCCATCCTTCCTATGTTGGTGAGATGAGAACTGAAATGCTGACTCTGTAAACTGCTTAGAGAGGGCTGTGAAGCACTGTGAAGAGGTATATAAGTCGAAGGGCTATTGCTATGCCATTCAGTCTTCAGTTTTCAGGAAGCTTTTCCAAGAGCCATGGTGGCACAGTGGTTAGAATGCAGAATTGCAAGCTGACTCTGCTGACTGCCAGCAGTTCGATCCTGACCGGCTCAAGGTTGACTCAGCCTTCCATCCTTCTGAGGTGGGTGATATGCAGACCCGGATTGTTGCGGGCAAGAGGCTGACTCTGTAAACNCTGTTCAGTTTAAATGTTTATCCAGAAAATCTGTGAATTTAATGCTAAGTAACTCAGTCCCTTTCTTGGATGGGTGAAAACCATCTCTTTTGTATTGTTTTTCATTAATATTGGGAGTCCGATCCCCCTTGGTCCCCCTGTCCCTGGGCCATCTGTGACTGCAGGTGGGGCACCCAGCCAACCGACTGGAATCCATAGTCACTGTCAGTCTGATTGCCTCTTTGAAATAGCAGCCCCTGATGATGGCCGGAGATCTCCACCAGTGGAGAGATTGAATTACTCCAAGGAAACGGTGACCCTGGCTAGGGAGCTGTTCTTGCTCTTTCTCTGAAATGGCAAAAGAAACAATTGGCGGTCTCTGGTGTACAGGCGTACCCAAGGCACAATGGCGATAGCTGACACCATTTTGCCTAATAACTGGGAAAGCTCGGCTAAGGACATCCTGCGCTCTCTCTCTACTTACCCTGCCAGTTCCCTAAGACTGGCCTGTCTCTCCTGTAACAGGTGTACAAGTCACCGTATGAATAAGCACTCCCAAATGAAGCAGGCTATTGGTGGGTTCAAGGTGGCTCTTGGCCATATTAGTAGAGAGCCCATGGGATTCCAATGCCTGTACTGTGATCTTCAGCTCCTCCCTGGCCTGGTCTGGCCTGGGCTGCTGCTAGATAACATTGGACCCGCACGGGTATGGCACGAAGGTGTGCTGCCAATGCTGCCAGAACCTTAGTAAACTCCCTAGGCACTGAGAAAAAACCAAATGGTAAGGCTGTATAATGAAAATGGCATCCACCATAGCAGAACCTGAGATATTGCCGATGGAGAGGCAGAATGGGGATATGCAGGTATGCCTCAGTGAAGTCAACAGATGTGAGGAAATTGCCTTCCCATATACCCCCTAGAATAGACTCTAAGGAATGCGTTTTAAGCAATCTATAACGTAAATAGCGGTTAAGGCGTTTTAGGTCAAGAATCGCTCTCCACTCCCCTGAAGCTTTGGGGATTACAAATAAGATGGAATAAAACCCCTGGCCTAATTGGTCCTCTGGTACCTGCTGTGTGGCTTGAATTTCCAACAGGTGCTGGATGGCAGCTTGCATGAGGACCCGAGTTGCGAGATACTGAGCAACTCCTGAAAAACCTTGGGGGTGTGGAGATGAATTCCAGGGGGAGCTCTGACCTTATCATGTTCCTGACCCAACCATCAGAGGTAGTCCCACTCCACTGGTCAGTGAACAATGCCTAATGGACACTGATGGAGGAAGGTCTGCCAAGGGCTTGGAGTCAGTGGTAGAAATGGCTTCCTCCGCTATGATAGGAGCACTTAAACTGTCTAACACTCTGATTGGGGTCTGTCTATTGTTGCTGTCTAGGGGCGTAACCACCCTGGTGCCTGAAACCTGATGTTCCATAGTCTATCCCATGAAAGGATATTCCGTAATCTTGACCCCAAAAGGAAGGACGTCTAAAGTATGGCACTGGATGGGAGAAACCTTTCCTGGAAGCCAATGGCAAAATCTTCCTTTTATCCTTGGTTTCTACCAGGATGGGGTCCAGAGACTCCCTGAACAAGGCATCTCCCTTGAAAGGGGCTGAGGCCAAACACCAAGTGTGCTGCACATCCACCTGCCACTGCTGTAGCCACAGCAATTGCTGCATCACCACCGATGAGGCCATAGCTCTGGAGGCGTATCTGGTGGCATTAAGGGTTGCGTCCGACAAAAACTGAATCGTTGCAACCAGCTTGTTGATGTCCCAGTGCACCCTTGAATCTGAAGTCGGGATTCTCTCCTGAAGCTGTCGGAGCCAAAGCAAACTGGAGTGATTGAAGAAGGAGGCCATCATGGATGTGTGGACTGCCCAAGCCGCTGCCTGATGACCTCACTGCAAGCTTTTTTGTCCTCTGGTTTTAAAGCGTTTTCAAGCGCCCCCGACATGTTGGCTGAAGTGTAGAATGCTGTAACTGGAGCATTCACTGTAGGCTGTCGTAACAGTTGGCTGAGCTCATTCACTACATTGTAGAAATACTTATCTGGAGAAGATGGCATAGGTTCTGAAGTTGGAGAGGCCCAGTGCCTCTGCAACACATCTACAAAGAACTTTGGCGTTGGAACGGTCTCCACCTCAATGGTTTGCTGGGAAAAAAGAGTCTCGGCTGAAGTGAGATGCTTTGGCCCTTAACTTTGCTGAAGTCTTAGCTTTGAAGAGAAGGGATTTGAAAAGGGCCGGTTGAAAGATCCTGGAGAATGTAAGTAGTTCCAGGGCCATGCCCTCATCAGAAGACAAATCCACTTCCCTGATCTCTCCCTCCTTGGACAGGGGTGAATGGCTGCTTTGGGAACAAGCAGGGAAATGAGCCCCACATGCAGGTAAGTCACCCGCTGCTTCAAGGGGTATCTTGGGGGCCATAAAGAGAACATGTTCCACCCGGTGTTGTAGGCCTGCCTCAATGCCCTGTACAATAGCATTGGCAATAATGTCCTGGAAATTTTGCAAGGGCATGGGATTAATTTGTTGATCCGAGTGGAGGCCTGCAGCAGTCGGTGTGAAAGTTGCTTCTGCAAGTCTGCTGCCTGTTGATCCAGGCTGCTCTAAGGAAGCAACTGAACTGTGCAGATCAGGAATCGAACTCCAGAGACCAAAGGTGTTAATAGGAAACACTGGGCTTAAAGATGTCACCCCTTCTTCAACTCCCCCTGGGGACAAATGTAAGGCATGTCTTGCCAGAGAATGACCCAGGTCCTCTCTTGTCTGGGAAGACTGAGGCCTCATTACTGGCCTTTGTGCACAAGCACTCTAATGATTTGTCCTTTCATTTTTCAAATTTGGAAGCCAACTTCAGGCCCTTCTTGGATTTGGCTGACGCTGGCAGCCTTGGAGCTCCATTTATGTCCCCTAAATTCCTCTCCTCTATTGGAAGTATATGGCAAGGAGGGAGGTTCAGGCCCATGGACCCCTGTGTCCAAATTAGTCTAATTCCCTGTCTCTGTTGGCATCTCTTGCTCTGACCGCAGCTGTGCCCTCCATTTTAAACAGTGACAAGCATCTGCTACTTGCCAAACAAAATGGTGGTTCACGCTCTTTTCCCCCCAGCAACGCTTGTCCTGTAGCGTGAAAAACTGTTGCAGGCCACAAACGGCCGTTCTCTATCTGGGTGGCTAGCAGTTCAAATATCTGATTTAATAGCTGGTAATATGAGGCAGAAACAATCTCATCGCCGGATGAAAAAGAATGAAAGATCAAACGCGCCACCTCTTGCAGCGGCAGCTCACTCGGCAGCCATCAAAGAGGAGCCTTTTACCCAGGCACGAAGCTATTTATGCAACAGGTTCTCCTAGAGTGCAAATGAAGAGAAGTCTCAATCAATTAGCCACTGTCAAAGGCAAGCAATCGGCATGAAGCTCGTGCAATGGAAGCACCCAAGTGCCTGAGGCAACAGATAAAGCGCAAAGCTCTACAAGTCATGATCTATTCCCCTTGACTTCCAATACCCCTGAACCATGTCTTAGGAGTCCAGGCTACCAGACTGAGTTTGTTTCAGGCTTTAAGAAATCCAGCGACTGGAGTCACAGTGCCGAGCCAAAGGGCCAGCCGAAACTGCAATTGGTCAAGGGAATACTCACAATTCCAACAATTATTGAGCTGAATAAATCACAATTTGAATTTTAGGAGATAGAGCTATTCAATGATACATCCATCCTTACTAAGGGACTGAATCAAAAGCTGGATATGCCTAGCAACAAAGGTGTGGCTTAATAGCTTCAACAGACTCAGTCCAATCAATGAGCTGACGAAGGCAACCCATGCCTGGATGCCATCTCCATCTCAATGGGGAAGAGAGGTGAATATAGATGGGCTGAAAGTTGCAAACCTATTCCCATCCCATCTTTTCAGTTTCAGTTCTCTTTATCTGAAAATAGCACATTTAAAGAATATGATTAAGTCTGCAAAACACATCCACTTAGACTACCTTCACTATTTAAAATATTAAGAAAAAATGAAAGTTACCTTTAATTTTCCTGGCTTCTTTAATGATTTTCTGGAGTTTATTCATTTCTGCATCATATTCTGCATAATTAATATTCCTAGCTTCAACTTTAGGAGCTTGAAATAAAGAAGGATCAGTACCAAGGTAAGAACATTGTAGATAGCCACTATCATTCAGTGTAACAATCACACCTTTCAAATTTCTGCAAAGGAAAAAAAGATTATTATATTGTAACAATATAAAGAAACCTCTTATTACTATTCAGTTAAGAAATACTTATTTTCTTAAAATAGTATAAACATACAAAAAGACATATTGAAATAAATTTAAAATGCTTCTCTATAATTATTATCCAGTTATTTGGATGCTTCGGGAAAGAAATCTGTATCATGTTTAAATATTTTTCTGCTTTTGGCAACTCATTTTGATATATTAATACGGCTTTCTCAAACTAAAAATATGTTGTGGTAATAACTACAATATATAAAATTTAATAATGTTACAACTCTTAATAAGAATGCTGGAGACCCTCATCTTTGGTTTGCCACTACTGTTTGATTAATCTCTCTCTATAAAAGAGAATACCACACAAAATCTCCAGAACCATAAAGCTTACAAACTTCAACTTTTCCACGTATGTTCCTCTTGCCTTCTAGGTGCTCACTAAGAAAGGATTTTTCAAAATGATCATCAGAGCATTAGTACTTCCTATGCTATTATTATTAACACGCTCTGATGCTAAGTTCTACTCCCCTTCCCAACCTGAAAAGAAATCTGTTCCAAATACAAAACACAAGCAGAGGAGAGGCATTTCAGTTTCAGTTTTACTTTCACAGCAGAAAGCAGCTTTATTATACAGGTGAAACACAAAAAATTAGAATATCGTCCAAAAGTTCATTTATTTCAGTAATGTAACTTAAAAGGTGAAACTAATATATGAGATTCATTACATGCAAAGCAAGATAGTTCAAGCTGTGATTTGTCATAATTGTGATGATTATGGCTTACAGCTCATGAAAACCCCAAATCCACCATCTCTGAAAATTAGAATATTACATGCAATCAATAAAACAAGGATTGTACATAGAACAATATCGGATCTCTGAAAAGTATAAACATGCATATGTACTCAGTACTTGGTTTGGGGCCCTTTTGCAGCAATCACTGCCTCAATGCGGTGTGGCATGGAAGCTATCAGCCTGTGGCACTGCTGAGGTGTTATGGAAGACCAAGATGCTTCAATAACGGCCTTCAGCTATTCTGCATTGTTCAGTCTCATGTGTCTCATCTTTCTCTTGGCAATGCCTCATAGATTCTCTATGGGGTTCAGATCAGATGAGTTTGCTGGCCAATCAAGCACAGTAATCCCACAGTCATTGAACCAGGTTTTGGTGCTTTTGGCAGTGTGGGCAGCTGGAAAATGAAGTCAGCATCTCCATTAAGCTTGTCTGCGGAAGGAAGCATGAAGTGCTCCAAAATCTCCTGGTAGACGGCTGCATTGACCCTGGTCTTAATGAAGCACAGTGGTCCAAAGTCCTGTTGCTCAGTGGTCCAAAGTCCTTTTTTCTAATGAGAGCAACTTTTGCATCTCATTTGGAAACCAAGGACCCAGAGTATGGAGGAAGAATGGAGAGGCCAATCAAGCACAGTAATCCCACGGTCATTGAACCAGTTTTGGATGCTTTTGGCAAAAGTTGCTCTCATCAGAAAACAGGACTTTGGACCAAGGAGCAATAGAACTGATGTTCTGCCATGGAGAAGATTATTACATCAATATACCTCAGTGTGAACCAAACACCAAGGTTCCTTTTAAGAAGTCCATGTCTGCTGCTGCCTTTTACTGCTACAGATAATGGAGTGTGATGGCAAAGAATGCTATCTACTGTCAGCCTCTATCTTGCTTTCTTGCTATCGGTTGCCATAATAACAGGGGGAGGGGACTTAAGTAGTTGGGAGGGGAAACATGCTGGTGGAGATGTCTTGGAATGAAAAGGGAGGATTATTCCCATCATTTATTGCGCAGCTGAATGGACTTATTTATGCCCAGTCAAGGTCAACCGTCCCTGCATACCAGATGGATGAAGCCACCTGAAGATGCACCCCACATGATACCCTTGGGGGCTGGGGACTGAGTATTCAACCTGGGTCCATGGGAAAAGGGATATAGGAAATCTTTCAATATGTAATTTTTTACACCTTTAGCCTCAGACCTTGCTTTACTTTCACTGCTATCATTTCATATCGAGGAAAAATACTTCTTCTCTAGAACAATGGAGTTGGAGGCTTTCTTTCTTGGATTTTGAAGGAGGCACATCTGACACCTACTGCTGTTCCAGTTCCATAGCGAAGCATAGGTATGCAACTGACTAGTTCTAAATATATTTCTAGGAGGATAATGGCTATTATAGTTTTCTCCAAGAAAATTCATTTGCAAAAAGGGGTCAAACTCATTTCACTTCAACTACTAATTATGATTTTAAATAGTTAATGTCCACATTTTTTATTTCCTATTTCCAGTTTGAAGTATTGAATTAAAAAGATTTTGGCACCAAATATTATCAACAAATAAACATTTCTAAACGCTCTGTCAGGTCCTATCTTGTTTCGAGACCATTTAACTATCACTCTACTCAATTAACATCTTGGCATAAGCTTCTGAAAAAATAGTGAAGGGATAAACTTTACATCACATAAAAGATTTAAGATCTTTTTTTAAAAAAACATTGCTCCTAATTTATCTGTGTGAAAGCTACAAAAGAAAAATATTTGTTCCCTCAAAAGGTTTTTTTTAATGAAAATTCACCTGAAGTTGTATTTGTTTCTGTGAGTGAAATAAATATACTTGTAGTCTCTATTCAGTTATGAGACAGATAGCAATCAAAAGGTGTACAAAAAGAGGACCTATCTATTCCAAATAATTCCAATAAAGCTGGAAAAAAATATTTTGAAGAATTAAATAAAATAATAATAAGATTTGTTTGGTTCCGGAAAGAAAACAAGAATAGGATGGAAAATGTTGCAAGAAGCCAAAACAAGAGGGGGTTTTGGACTAGAAAATTGGGAAGTATACTACAAAGTCTGGTATTTACCTGGGTCAAGGAATGGATCACTTTGAGGCATACAAGATTATTAATACTAGAAGGGCATGATCTTCAACTAGGCTGGCACCCCTTTTTGTGGTATGGGAATAATAAGATACATAGTTATTTCCAGAGACACTATGTTAGAAATGCACTGTTATCAGTTTGGCTTAAAATAAAAGAACAACATTATTTGAAAATACCAATCTGGCTTTCCACTATGGAGGCATTGGTACATCCTAATGTTATTAATATGGAAAAATTGTAAGATATAAAGACATTTTGAATAACCAAGTGGAATTAAAAACTAAGTAGTCAAGGGATAGTTACTGCATGCCGGCCACAAATACAGATACAATCTCGATATGAGAAAGATGCTAAAATGTTTGATTTTAATAAAGAGTTAAAAGAATTAGACCAGATACTAACCAGAACAGATAATAAACTGATAAAGAAATTGAATTGTTATATACTAAGTATTAAATTTGAAAGTGAGCAGGAGACAATGATTGCCTGAGCCAAAAAATTTGGATATGCAATAGAAATAGACAAGTGACAGAAATTATGGGATAGAAATGTTAAACTGACTATGTCAACTTCATATAAAGAAAATTTATATAAAATGTTTTATAGATGACATTTTGCACAGGCAAGACTGGCTAAAATGTACAAAAACAGATCTGCTAAATGTTAGAAATGTAATCAATCACTAGGCTCATACTATCATGTGTGGTGAACTTGTCCAAAAGCTAAAAAATTGTGGACAAAAATACATACTTGGTTAGAAAAGATGATAACACAGCATATTGATCTGAAACCTGAGATATTTTTGTTGGGCATTCTACCGGAAAAATATGACAAAAAGACTATGTATCTTACACATATTGACTGTAGCTAGAATTGTATTTGCGCAACAATGGAAAAATGATGAAACACCGTCAGATGAGAGTGTAATTAAGAAAATATTAGAATGCGCAGAAATGGACAGATTAATGTTCATAAATAAGGATAAAGAAGAAACTGAATATTTATTGGTGTGGGAGGTATTTTATCAATGGTTAGATAATAGAAACAGAAGTCAGAAAGGAGGATATATTAAAAAAAAGAGGAAATGTTAATGTGGAAAGAATGTTGGTCCTTACCTGAACATTTCTTTTCTGCAGCAAAGGTGGGAGGGGCTACAACAGGGTTAAGTCACAGCCTGATTGGTCCAGAGACTGAGGGAATTTTCTTAAAGTCACCATCCTTCCCTATTGGCTCCCAGTTTCCTCTAGGTCGAACGGAAAAGCTGTAATCTTATGTAAGGCAACTGGAAAACACATACAGAACATACATACACATCCTCCCCAACCGCGATGCTCCCCCCAGGCCGATCTGCACTACCTAGGGCAGGATGTAGCCCCTCCCCCCTTTGCTGCAGAAAAGAAACGTTCAGGTAAGGACCAACGTTCTTTTTCCTGCAGCTCGGTGGGAGGAGCTACAACAGTGACATACCCAAGCTAAGTCCCTGGGTGGGATGAAGACCCCGGGGGAAGGGAGGTCGCTACCTGCTGAAGGACACCGAGGCGAAAGTGTCAAAATAGTAGTGTCAAATAAAGGGCGTCGGGGAGGCCCAGGTGGCCGCCCTACAGATGTCCTCCAGAGGAGCTCTAGTGGCCCACGCAGCCATGGTAGCGGCACTGCATGTGGAATGGGCAATCATCCCTTGGGGAGGGGTCTTGCCCAAAGCTAAGTAGGCCTCACTGACGGCTTGTCTCAACCATCTACCAATGGTGGCAGATGAAACCCTAGCACCCAGTGTGCTGGACTGAAAGGATAGAAGGAGAGCCTCTGATCGGCGGAAGGGGGATGTCCGCCTAAGGTAGATACGCAAGGCACGACAGACATCCAGCCGGTGCCATAGGTGTTCCCTCTCGTGAGAAGAAGACGGGCAGAAATTGGGAAGTATGATTTCCTGTGATCTGTGAAACAGAGTATTGACCTTTGGGATAAAGATGGGATCTAATCTAAGGACGACCCTGTCCTGATGGAATTGGCAAAGGTCACCCCTGGATGACAAAGCACCCAACTCTGATATGCATTGAGCCAAGGTGACTGCGACGAGAAAAACTACCTTCAAAGT